AAGGGAGAAACTGCAAAATCGGCGCGTCAAGCCTGGTAGTGTGGGATAACGTTGGCACCAGGGCGAAGTGTCCGATTGACATGATCGACTGCTGTCCCACTCCACCGGGAGCGGCCAAAACCGACGCGATGCTTGGACTTCGACTTGAGAGATTCGGCACGGTCAAAGACATGTGACCTCCGGCACTAGTCGTGCCGGCTCCCCCAGACGTTGAAATTTTCGGTCCAGAATAAACTGACCCCATGTCACTGCTCGGCCCATCGCCTCCGCCAAAAATGATCGAAGTTGATCCACGACCGAATTGCCTCGAGCCACTGAAACTTCCTCCGCCACTGGACTGACCTCCACTACGGAAGCTTCCGCCAACGGAAAGGGATCCTGTTGACTTTAAGGCCGTACCAGGTACCTGTTGAAGCTGTTGCTGTTGTTGGGTAGACGTTTGCTTCCCTCCCTTCTTTTGCGGCACGTCCAACACTTCAGGAGCTGCTTCGCTGACAATTAGACCTGGAGCAAGAATGTGGAGAACGTCTTCGTCCTTCACATTTGAGTGGCGTGAGAGCTCAAGCGCCACATATTGAGCGAGGCCTGATTTGAGATGGGCTCCGATTGTGTCTTCGTGGAGAGAAGGAGCGTTTGCTGAGGCGGCTGGCGGACAGGAAGCGGAACCTGCAAAAGCCGGATTCTGCACTCCGCCTCCCGAGATCCCACCTGTGGAATTCCATGTATTACCTGGACCTACACCGCCACCGGCATCGTTTGGGTTCCCTGATTGCAAGGGCTGTACTGCCGTTTTTTGAGCTTGTTTAACCTAAGATACAGCATATTTGGGGGTTAATGTACTATGCTAACACAAAAAGAAATGATCACGCGTTGTTACTCTCTCAATAAGGAGCTCTTAACTCGCTCATTCAGAGTCAGTTGTCATTTTTTTGCCACAAGTTTTCGCACAAACCAAGTTTACTCTGGTTAATTTAAGTTCTTTATGCATTCCTTTATTGAAATGGGTTGCTACGAGATCTTTGATAGCTAGCACACGTATTAGCTACACACGTACACCTATTGTAAAATCAAAATAAGCCAAGCTTGTGTCAATTCTAGGAAATGTAAATTAATATTCCCCTTTTTCCTGAGATCACCCACTGTGGCAGTTTGTGGAAGTCAAACTGATTCAGATTTGTCACAAAGTAGCTTATACTAAATATTGGCTGGTTTAAAAGGATTGCGAAAATTAATGTATAGGGTGATTTAAATTCCCTTTCAAGCACTTTAAACAGGTAAGTAGGTCGCCGTAACAAATAGAGGCTAATAAGTGCGTAAATCTTGACCTGGTTCTAAACAACGTGGAACCGAATTTTATGCGACTCCTACCCATAAAACAAATTTGTGTTTTATCTGGAAGTCTATCCTACTTTTCCGGCAAGAGATAAACCCACTTGTATTCATTCTTTCTAGGCTCCAGTGTTGAATATGCTGTCATGATGATAACTTTAGCCCTAAGTAGGATCTAAGACAGCCGATTGTTGTTGTAAATACAAGATATGCTATGCTAGGCCTTTTTTCTTAATCAGAGCATCCATCTGCCGCTTAGGCAAATCAAAATAGTCGCTTTTCAAAATCACTGCCGCATCAATCGGCGAGAATCGTCTAACACAACCGAGAAAGCATTTAGTTTATGGTGACCTAGTTGGCCAAATTATGCGATAATAGCGCTAAATATCTGCACTACCAGCAGTTGATTTCTGCAATTTATTGACCAAAAGTACGGAATGTTCTACCAGTATGCATTCAGATGCTATTTTCCCATTATTAAAAGAACGATATTTGAATTTGTTACACAGGTTGCCCATTTTCGATTAATTCTAAAATCAAGCCGCGTATAATAAATAAAATTCGTGTATGATAAACATCATTATATATTACATATAGTAAAGTTATATAGTAATATATAGCTTTTAAATACCACAAACAAAGGCGGTCATCACATTACAAAATAGTGGTTTAAATTTACCGACACAAAACGCTTTCTATTTTTACAATTTTCTGTCCAATTTATAATGCCGATATTTTTGCAGTCCCATTTTTTTTTAAAAACGGATAGTTTTGCACGACCAGTTTTATGCTCCATGAAGGTATATCAGAGATAATATTTTGTTCTGTCTCGTTTTATGAGGTCGAAATTTTCAAATTTGTGCAAACGTAAACCACTAAAACGAGCCACTGGGATTACGAAGCGCATGCCTAATTGCAATTAAATCGTAGTGCAGCGATAAACTATGAACATCCAAAACAGGAATTTTTTCTTATTACTGCAGTTGTCGAATTTTCCACAAAGCAAGTCCAAGGGTAATTCATAAACGCGATGGCAAACGATGCAAAAGACAAAGGTCATTGCTATAAACACAAACGAATGTAGTCAGCTGCAGGTTATATTAAATATGCATAAATGTGAACTATTTTATACCAAGCAGTTGTGCGGCAAAATATGCCTTTTCGCTTATGATTTGTTTCACAAAAATCCTATTTTATAAATCACTATTTGTGACCTTCATCGGATTCATCATGTAAGGACGCAATTTTTAACAAAAACAGTTCTGAACCAAACAATAACACCATAAGGATTAACAAGTTGGATATTAAAATATATTTGCATTTACGACTAGCTGACATTGACTGAAAATTTTTACAAATCGTATTCGTAGAGCCAAATTTCCAAACTCTCTACCATGGGTTACTATTGTGCTAAATTAATTAAAGAATTTGATACATGGTGATTTTACGCTACTGACAGCAGAGAATAGCTCATAACTCACTTAAGGAGAGGCAAATTGCCAAGGTCTACCGAAGTAAATGTTTATTTGGCATCTCTGTAAAGCCGAAAAATATCGGTTCGTCGAATTAAGACTAAATTCATTTGATCTCTAAAATCAACCTTTCCAAAGCAAGTAGCATAGAGTTAATGAAATGATAAAAAACATGATTTCTAATTTTGGCTCAGCCGATGTTTAGTGGTCTTCAAGCGTCATTTTGCCAGACAGTAACGGAACCAAGTTTGTCACATGCATAAGCATCATCAATTTGGATGAGCGGTGTCCATCTAGCTTTTGTGTCAAAAACGCAGCAACAAATTTCATAAATGCAGATTGTAAGGAAAAAATTTCTGTGGCGAAATTTGAGACACAACCTGTTTGGGACATTACGTCATCAGCCCTCGTGGCGAATGTTTGTTTAAAAACTACGTTTAATACATCAAGTTAATATTATCCACTATGTGCAAGTAAGCTTGAATTATCTTTTTTATGAAATTCTGAAAACCCCTACCTTGCGTATCATGTGGACATCGGAGAGAATGTTGAGACAGTCGACGATATGAGGCCTCATTAGTTCGGCAGCACCGGTGGAGAAGAGATGGAAGGTCTGAGGATTGAAGAGGTTGGTTAGACCTGGGGAGATCTGGTTGGGCTCTAATGTACCCCCGGCGTCCATAACAACAAGCTGAAGAGACGGGCAAAATGACAGTTGTGAGGATATGTACCTAATGGCTTTAAATATCATAGTATTTTGCTTAGAACGTGAATACTAATACCAGTGGATTTAAAGAAAAAGACGCTGAAGATTTGTATGCTTTCACATCCATCAAAAGACACGACGTAATTCGGAGAAATATTTAAGTGAATGCACATGAAAAAAGTGCACTTAAGACTTGGATAAAACATTATTGACAGGGATGCAATGTGGAATACATGGATGGCATCGTTTATATTGCAGCTATAATTGATTTCCTTGTAGCATCCACTTGCATTTAAACCAAAACTGTATCTTAATATGAAATAGCTTAGAACGTGAAGTTGATTTGTTGGAATTTTGTGTGTGTGTTGACATTTGAAGTCGCCAAAGCTGAAATCATCGAACCACACATGTGCAAATTAGTATAAATTTAACGAGATTTTCGGCTAATTTTTACCAAATGTGATGAAATGCATTCACAAATGTTATGGACCACCCAAGTCACCACGAGGCATTACGACCTCCAGGTCAATTAGTAGCCAATTAAACTTTCAGTAAAGTTTACTTTTGATTGAACTGTTATTAGTTTATAAAATCCAGTACGCATTTTAAGCTACACACCCTTTGGTTAAGAGATCAGAAATAGCAAAAGGTTGCTTTTTCTTCTTATAATTGCTCAGACTACTGCTCACAAGTTCATCTTCTCTAAAAGGGACATCGAAGATGATACTAATTTGCTTGTCCTTGTGAGAGAACATACCTGCGTGAAGTTCATTCAAATAAATTGCTTTTAACCAAATCTGAATAAACTGACGACTTGTTATAATGTACAGCCACGCAATTAAGGTTTCAGCAAAATGGTTGAACTACGCCTTATCTACGGCTTCCTCTCCCTCATAGTCTCAAGGCTTATAAAAATATTTTTAGCACAGAAATCAGGCCCAAATTAGAACTTTTGAATTTGTGAAATATTCAAAAATTTGGCGACTCCAGGAAGCAAAATAATGAATGTCAAACAAAAATATTTATTTTTCTCACTTGAAATTTATTTGCGCCGTTAATGCTGAAAATAAATTGAGCCTTTTGTTTTGGTTATGGTTTAAACAATTGGGCATTTGGGCTGTAGATGGAAGTGATCATAATTGTTTTATATTAATTCTAGAAAAACCTACCAGATACGTGGAAGCTTAAAGTGAACCGAGTTAGAACAACTTTCAGTATGCTGGAATTCACAAACACTACACACGCAACCTTAACCGCATTCCCAACCTATCTCAAAATGGTCTGCGACAGATTAGAAGTCTTTTTTTTTAAACACACAAACTCACCTGAAGAGTTTTGAGCAGGTTTTCATCAGGTAAGTAGATGCGAAACTTGAGTGCACTCACGAGAGACTCTACAATTACTTTCGTCAGTTGAGATTTTACACGCTCCTAAAAGAATAAATAAACAGTTACTACTGTGTAGAAAATGCAACTACATATGCCCACAAATTACTGACCGGAATTTTCTCGGCATGCATATACTTCTCCCTGATAACTGTTTTTCAACATCTTGGAGTTGCACAAGAAAACTTTGGCATTGACAACTAACGATTTAAGATTCATGAAACAGAGCAATTGTTTTTAATTGTGCAAATTAATTCCTCATTCATTTGTCTAAATTTTTTATTTTCAGGCAACAAATTATATTCATGCTCTAAGAAAAGATATAACAGTAAAGAAAATAATTGTTTCAAATTTGGGAATCAAGCTGACCCAAGACAATTACTAAAGAATAAATCAAGGGTAATCTACGAGTTCAAGAAATCAAAACGCTATTTTTCAATGTATTTGTACATAGTGAAACTGTGTGATTCGTACCGTTTTAGTGTTTCATAATTCATATGTTGCGAAATGCAAAGCCAATTCCCACGGGCCAACTTTGAAATTAAATATAATCGTAAAATGCACAAGTGCATAGGGAAATTTACTTTTTACGCTTTGGCAGTTGATGCATGTAAGAAAATATTAAGCACATGAGTATACATATAAATTTTTAAAAATATTTGTTTTTTTTTAACAAAATTATTTAATTATGTACAACACCGCTAATTGAACCTTACGAGCTATGTTAAGCCTCAAATGTTGTTTCGCATTTGTTGATATCGTTGAAACTTTGTAATTTGCATTTTCAAAAGTTGAGCTATTAAATGTGTAAGTATCGCAGGGCTTGTGGTAAATCAACGGCACTTTCTTCTTACTTTAAACGTCCTGTTACAAAGGGAGCAGATTTCAATAAGAAGGGAAGAGTCGACATGGCACTGTTCGATAACCAGTCGTAGTATCGAAGAGTACGCATCTGTTACACCTTGCTAAAAGAATAAACCAAGGTCGAGACTCAAAAAGGTTAAGCTGAAACCTACTTTCCACACACGCCCGTAGTGGTTTAGAAGTGATCGTGCCTGAGTGAACACTGTTTACTAACTTGACGGTGTCAATGACTCATCCCCTTTTAATTGGTTACTGATATCAAACGCTGATCACTCATCTACACACTTGGCTGGCGTGCGGTAATAAACGATCATGTCCTCTGTCGCCTCTCCATTCCATTCTCGGGTTATTACGGGCTGTTAACTGGAGAGTTGTAAGATGGTGCTAACCGAGTCACTGCATTTGGTGACACCGACGTGATGAAAGGTTCTCCAAATTCCACAACAATTAGCGACCCCACAACACATCTTCAATACATTAGTCCAAAGTGAAATTTCCTAGATTAAACCGGCAATCCATCTCAGGAACTGAAATAGATCACGGACCAGTGGCTATAAAGTAACTAATGAAACCATGTATAACGCAAAATCATAGATAATTGGTGTGCTTGGACACGACCTTTATTAAAAAAATTCGGGAATATTTCATATTAAGTCTCAATCGATTACACAGTTTAATGAATGGAATTTGGCATATTTTAGGTAAACTCCAAAATCTGAAGTAATTTAGAATAAACACTAAATAATTAATTTGCCAATTAGAAAACATTTTGCAAAATCCTTCATTAATGTGGCGATCGAAGTCAACAGCAAGTTAATTGCGATTGGCATTAAACTAAAATGATTTCTAAAACGGCAGAGAACAGAATGCTAGAGGGTTCGCTGCAGAGCTTAGAATTTGTTCTAAATACAAATTCACTATTGCATTATTCATCATTTCGCTGCTATGCTCTGGATGAATGTCGCAGCAAGGGAATCGTAAAGCAACTTTCGAAAACGCATAACTTTATTCAATGCAAAGTATTTACGGGTGATAGCTTTCAAAATAATACCGTTTTTTTGGCAACATTAATGATATAAGCGACCCACATACCTTCGTTGTAGAGCTAGTTGGAGCTCGCAAGATACAAATCATGGAGCGAAGCGTTGACGCAAGACTAGCTGGCAGGGGTCTAAGTTGGGCGAGCTTCCGGAAAAAGGTCTCCACTATTGGCATTAATTCAGCCCATCCAGTCGAAATAAAGTTGTTCCACTTCTGCTCGTCAGTCAGGCGTGGCAGATACTCCAGGTAGGTGGCCATGTTCTCAAGAACCACATTCAGTGTTTCAGATGGAAGGGTTTTGCGCTTATTAAAATTATCCAAGGCTGAGATCAGGGGAAAGAAGGGTGACATGTGCTCCTCAAAATTGACCAAAACTGAAATAATAGCGCGGAATAGGATCGGGTCTAAAGGGAAGGCAAAAGAAATTTTAACAGCGATAATGGGCTCCTCATAATTTCACACACGAAAGTTAGCCCTTTCATTAACAAGGCTACATCTACACAAATTAAGACAATTAAAAACTATACCGAATTGTAATTTAACTGCGAGTGGTTAGCAACATTGATTGGTTATTGAGGACTACGACAAGCGGTTAAAAAGACTAGTTTTCATTATGCTCTCTAATGTAAGAATTGTAGTGTGATTGGTCACTTATGGAAGAAAGGCCAGTTCATAACTGCCAAACTAAAAAAATTTATGTATTTATCGATGTCACGTGGTCACTTAGCATGAATGAAAAATACGGTGATTATCCCACGGGAAAACCCTCAGCCAGGTCCTTAATATGCACTTGGAGCAGAACGCAACGAGGCTCTACCAATAAAGAGGTTTTTCTTGTTTTTATTGCACAATGCACTGAAGTTTTACGAGTAAAATACGCAACTAGAGACTTGTTATTATTAATTCAGGCTTCCAATAAGAAAAACTACCTAGCAACAATGAGTGTCCAAAATCAGTGTCAACGGGGAAAAAAGGGAGATGGAACAAATGTGATAATGCAAAATTTTCCTCTTTTAAAAAAAACTATTATCGATTTTAAAGACAAAACTAAGGGCAAATCCAATGAAATAAACTGCAAGACACACGCTTACATTTGATTATGTAAATATCTAGCAGGTTTTGTAACTTTATACTCATGAATAAATAGATAAGCCAAAAAAATTCCTTCGTGGTTTGTTGGAAAAATCGGATTAAAAAATGAGTACATTCAGCAGTTAGCAAATTCAAGCAGCCACCTCCAGATGCTGCAAGTAGCTTGGTGGGAATAGTGATAGCGATTATCTAAATTCCAACAGAACAGTGGTGTAGCAAAGATCATCATTGGGCTTAGGTTGACATTTATGCATTTCAACTTTTAATTTAGTCAAACCAAGTCACATCCTAAGAGGTAGGATGATAACGATCGCCTGGGGCGGTATTTTAAGTCATTTGTTTTAGATTCGCAGAAAAGGAACTTTGAAGAAGGTGAAATTTATTTCCTGCTGCCTTTGAGATCGAGGCTTTCGACTAATTCACTGAATGCATCAGTTGCACACTGATGATCAAGCAACCACCAAAATGTCGTTAAGATTTTAGCCCATGCTTGCGAAAATATTAGCGCAACTAATCATAAAATTGGTGCACATAAACTCATTAATTGCATAATCACCGGCCACGATTCATATCTCCATGATGATCACTTCGTACACTGTTCTGGACTCAATTTCATGTAGATTTAACCCCCTTGCTCGCATTTGCCATTCTTCTATCACTCAACTAACGCTGCTCTAGATGCAAAACACTCAATTGGGGCCAGCTGAACAGCCATAACCCCTGCCACCTTAACCTGACTATATCCTTCAGGAATAACGTGCTTTGAAAGCGTAGGAAAAGTGCCTCTTTCAGACATTGGCGTATGTTTAAAAGTCTTTTTTGCCGCATGAAATGTTCTGGTCTAATGAAAACTTCATAACATAGTACTTTATCCACATTCTAGTAAGATTTTCTAATTCGCGATGAAGTGATATTTTGTTTCGTGAGTGGAATAGTGTTCTAACTAATAGGTACATTTATTGGAAAGTTACGTGAAAATAAAAAAAGCCACTGCCCACAATTACAGCCCTACGCACGTAAGGCATGAACCTACCTGGAATGGGCGTCTGAAATAGTTGTATAAACAATCCATTAGGGGCCAAGTTGTACACTGTGCATCGTAAAAACTGCCGAGCGATGCTTGCCGTGTTGCCGGAAACAATAACGTTTGGTCTGTCGAAGAGAAAACCAATGCAATCACAAGTGTAATACCTCAAGGGCTTTTGGGCATCAGAAAACGCGGGTGTACGTATGAAGCAGTGCTCGAGATGTCTTTTTTGTTGGCGAAAAGAAAACTGTTCTCTTAACTACTTCATCAGAGATCCATTTTAAAAGATCTATTTAGGCAAACCAACTGTGATGTGGAAACTGAAAGAGCTTTTCTGTCAGACAGTAAATCGAAACTGGCCAAATATTGACAACGTTTAGTTCTGCCTTAAAACATATTTTGAAATAGTTAAGAATGAAATAATCCAGGCAGCATTCGTTAGAATATGGATTTGGCAATAACATTTCAAATTACTGAGTCCTTGGAATGTCGCCATGTTTTATTTCAAAAAAAAACATCACACAAGATTTGTTTAACGGTGGTAAAACGAAAGAAATGTCTAGTTTTGTGAAAACTTGCTGACGTTGTCAAAAAACGGAAGCCTCATTTACAAATCCAGTTAGCGACTTCCAAAATAATTCAACAAATCGAGGTCGTCTTTCTCCATTATATTGATTATCCACTTATCGAAAAATTTGTCGAAACTTGTCTTCGAACACCGACACCAATCGACGACACATAATGAGGTTACGAATTTCTTTAAGTTCATAAAATTCAGAAAAAACGAGGCAGGTAAGATTTAGGAATAACATATTATGTACCTGCATGTTACAGTTTGATCAACAGGGTACTTTCAACTGGTTATAATCCTATCTTACGACTGATTTACATGTGAATTATTTACAAATTTTGAATACTGAAGCCTTATTTAGGTACTACAGTGCTGAACGTCAAAAGTAAACGGATAATGTAGCTGAAATTTTATATTTTTCGGAACTTTCAAAAAAAACACAAACAGTCGTTTATTTTTTATTAAAATTTACATAAGAAACACTGCTCACGTTTTATATTTTTGAAAACCACAATTTAAATAAACATAACTGATAACTTATTTAAAGTAAAAGACTGATAATTTGTGATAGTGGTACCAATTTCGTGAGATCTGATTTCATAACCAAGACACCTAGAGGCATAACTACCTTAGTTTAGCGGATCCAATAAGCATTTTTTGCACCAAATTATACAAGACAGCCCTTATATTCCGAAGGTGTTGCGTGTTTTATACAAACAAAACCAAAAAATTGATTTTCCGATATATAAAATCGGATTCGTGTGTTACTGTTTTAACCAAAAAAAATATTTTAGAGTGGCTAATTTTTTAGCCTGTACTAATTTAAATTTTGTGGTTCCACGTTTAATTATTATTTTGTTAATATTTTCTAATAAACAGCCGCCTACATCAAACGCATCTTCCTTTATGTCAGGGGTGGGAAACTACTAGCCAATCACAATTAAACATGGCTGTGGGTTCTTGAGTAGGAGCAAGCCACTAATTTAGATTATTAAAAGATACAGAGTAAACATCCAGGTGGTTGGGATAATGAAAACCAGAAGAAAAAGCACAAAAAATTAAAACATACAGCACCCTCTGCCAAGTGTAAATTGTCGATGTGGCTATTCTGGACGCAACCATTAGCATATCGATAAGAAAGGGCGCAGCGAGACTTGGCTCTCTGTGGACAAACGTAGCTAGACATATAAGTCCAAGGCCAATGGTCGCCTCATCGTGAGTTTCTAGCACCGCCTGGCACCAGGGGCATCGCTCGGTGTTGATGGCAGCAGTAGCGAGAGCTGAGGTCATGTTTGACGTGACCTCGAAGTTCGTGCAACCGCGATGGGGGGAGCGTGTTCGGGCCGAGGAGACACGACGCGCACCGCCGACACCGCTGCGAGGTGTCTTGTGGGCACCGGTGGAGTCATCAAGCGAGGAGGAGGTCTGTGCCTTGAGGGACTCATTCCCACCACCAGCACCACCACCACTACCTTCATCATCGACTTCAGGTGACCGGTTAAGTGGAGGGCGATCACGTGGAGGTGCAACGGAGAGCTTGCTGTTCCCACCGTTGAGAATGGGTGACGGCACGGTCATGTCAATAATTGATTCTGTTGACGGTGGAGTTTTCCTTCAAGTTAAAATTGCATATTTTGAAATAAAAAAATGCACAGTAGCTAGTAAAGTTCACGCTTGTGTATGACTCAAGCCAATCCAGCATTTTCGAATCGGGATGATAAATCGCACGTTAGTATTCACTTTACAAGGTGACATAGAAACTGATTTCACTGCTTCTTTTGGGTTTTGTTCATTACGTGTTTAGTGTAATCTGACGGTTGACATAGCAACAAACAGTAACTCTGACATGCAAGAAATTAAATTCAAATTATCATACCCAAAGTGCAGACGGGAAGCCAAACCGCCAAAATCCGTAGTTTTTGCGTCTAAAACAAAATTTAAAACCCATTTATTTATCAGGTATTTAAACTAAATTCAATTTTTTTATTGCTCAGTTGCAGTCCATTACAGGCTCTAGAATTAACTTCTGTTTTCAATTTGCAATGTGTGATGTTAATGGGAGAAGATTCCGCATTTTAATCATCATTGTCTCTTATATCTTTGTTGCATTCCCTTGGAAATCGAGTTTGTCCGAGAAGTTGTACGAAGGCGGTTCCATGAGAATCAGATCCTTTTCATGCATTTTCACCACATTTGCCAAGCGTTACGTAGCTTTTGGCATTTTTATCAGCTAACTCAATGTGTGACAAAATCCAGAATGCTCAATACTACACAACTTCAAGAAATTAATAACATCTGGTTAACGTGTAGTAGGGCTCGCTTTTTGTGAATTGCGCTGTTGGACAAAAACGGAATCGTCGATGACAACGGAATACGACCAGGGTACTGAATTAATCAAGATGAATATCCTTGACAGGCGCCAAAGGCCGTCCGACGCGAACGAAATTACAGTAACAAAATGATGTAATGCGAGCGATAAAACTACGAATTTGTTTGAAATGCCTGGAAAAAACAGCAAATTGTGCATAGCACAGTCAAAAAATATGACAAATCATACATTCATAAAATTATGAATTAAAAAAAACGTGTTTTATTAACAATAATGTAAGACTTAGTATGGCACCGGTGATGCTGGGAATTTCGCTTTTGGTGTACAAAGGCTTAAAACGGCTCTCGAATTTGTAAATTTTAATGGTGTGCATTAGCAGACATGGCAATAATTTTCGTAACATTTAGCATTAAGGTATACAACCCCACTCATTTCCTTTGTATTCAACGATATGTGATGTAAAAAAGTCATTAAAAGAAGATTAAACCAATGTCAACTTCACAACAATGAACCAAAGGAATTGCAGGCATAAAATAGTCTATCAAATTAATCAGACAACGAAATAGGTCTTTATCGGTCGCAGTCCTTTTAGTAACCGTATTGTTTGGTGGTGAGAAGATGAGAATACTAACTTAACATTACAGCACGAAACTGATGGTAAACATATGCATTAACCCACAGAGTAAAACATGTTGATAAAAGAGGCAGAAAGGTATTAGCCATTTCAAAAAAAAGAAAATCGTATTTTTTTGACGTTTCAAACAGCTTGGAAGTTGGCTTTTGCGGATTTGTGCAGCCAAAGACATTAAAACCCTTGATTAGCACAGTAGTACGAAAAGTTTTAGGGAAAAAAATTATTCCGTGATTTAGGTATGCACTTGGCTAATCACTGCAAAAGCACACATAACACACGTGACTTAGCCAAAGTGTTTGAGAATACTTAAGACTTTTTTTCAATTTACCACGTCGCGTTTAAATTAACCGATTTAAAAATTCATTTTGAGACCAAATGGTTAACATAGCATTGAGATAATGAGATAAAAACCATTCCATGGACTCAAATATTTTTATGCTACACAATTTATCTGATTATGAAAGTATTAGAAAAACAAGTCGGTGTTATATTTCGCTGGGTTGTTTTGAAACGGGCGTACGTGATTTCTAGCACACTCATCTATAGGATTTTGAACTACTTACAGGACTTGTGCCTGCAAAACATCGAAAAACACAGAAAAATGCAGCGCTTACCTTGATGACGCTGGTCCACCGATGCCACGGTAACCTTCTGTATCTCAAATGGCCCCTTCCTTTCAGCGCACGTTTCCACAACAGTTGGCTAAATGTTCGGGTGTAGAAAAAGATGCAAATAATGTTTCGAGCATCTTTGACAGTGCCATAGGTATTTGAATATGCATCCAGTAAATAAAATATTTTATCGAGAGTGTCACTTTACATGCAACCAGAAATCAACAACACTAGCCAAAATAAAGTAGACAGTTTGTATTAGGGCGTGCCATAATTGTTGATTATTGTCAGAATAGACTATTTGCTGTTTGAACAATAAAAACATGATATCCATATGCACGGATATCGGTCATTTATGTTAGGATGAATTGTTACTTGTCAAAAGTGCCAATTTTCAGTTGTCGCACGAATATGATCAACGGTTATAGAACTGAACTCAGGCTAAAACCATTATTCCATTACAGGGTATGAAATATCTTAACACTTGGCCCCCTACCATTGGCATACTCAATTTGTTGATGTAAAGAGTTTTACAATTTCGTCCACCAAGGCCTTAGTATTACCTTCCCAAATAGCTTTAATGCGAAATATTTTGGGAATTTAAGTCAGTTAGAGTATTTGAAATAAATCCAAGTAAGAATTTCGAAAAAAACTATTAATTGATGATACGAAATTAGAAAACAAAACTGATGACAGTTAATTGCCTTACAACATGTAGTTTGCTTGATTAGTACAATAAGGTTAAGTCATTTTAAATCAGCGTGTAGGATTTACCAAGAATATTTTTGCCAAATATTGTTATTTAAAAAAAATTTTAAGAAAAGTGAAAAAAAAGTAAGTGACATCATATTTACTTTTAGGAAAAGCTTTGTTTAAAAGCAATGAAAAACCGTTTTGCCTTATAAAGAATTTGTTACTAGTTAAGACTAGTCTCTTTAAACAATGCATTGGTAGTGATCTAATAGAAGTGACAATCACAATTTCTAAAGCATTAAATTATGTACATTTGAGCCAGCAATCATAGTACAGACAAATAAAATATCACTTACAGTCAACCTAACTTTCGCAATGATTGGTTTGTGTTAAATTAGCATGCTTATTTTACCGCCTGTCGGCCTTTTGTACTAAACTATAATACCAGAATTCCTTAAGATCTTATTTTCATTAGTATAATTTCGGTGCTTCTGATGTCAAAATATGAAAATGTTTTAACCACTAATTCTCGTCTAAAGGCAACAATATCACATCCAAAAAGGAGCAGGTAATTACCTTATCTAGGAGGCCACCAGACGTGTTAACATTCCCAAGACAAGCAACTTGACAAAACTGATTTGTGACGTCGATTCACTCAATTCTCTTCGCTTAATTACAACACTGTATCACGCCAAATCATTGTTAACGAGAACAAGTCTTCAGGCAGTGCTTTTCACTCAAATCATCTATCTCAGATCGCCAAGGCATACGCAAGTGGTCACATCCGGGCATCCACACAACTACCGCCTCGACTTCCACTATTGGCCCTATCTTGTACTTGAACCTTTGGTTCATACAGTAAAACCTTACGCAAAGGCTATAGTCTTCTTTTATTCTGGGAAACCCTCGACGTGCCAAACAAAGTGTTCCAACTATTAGCCAGAAGACATGCATCAACATGCCGATTAAAAACGTAACGATTAGGTAGTAGTGGTAGATTACACAACTGCTTACACTTTATTATTCACTTAGACGCCTAGATAGCCATTCAAGCGTGGCAACGTAATTAAGTTTTGGCTGTAAGAGATCGGGGAATTGCCGTCCTGCAAAGTCATTGTTAGCCTTAAAGTTAAATCACCCATTTCTTATAACTAGTTCCAGATACAAGGACGCGATAATTGATTAAAAATAAATTATTTGTAACGGACAGTTTGTAACAAAAGATCATCAACCGTATAAAACGACAACACTTCAGTTCCCAAATTTTTTAAGGAAGTTGATAGCTCCCGTTGGCGTAAGAAAATTATCCACAATTTTTTAAAAGTGAGTTGTTATTCACACTTATAGTACTTCTCCCGTGGCAAGTTTAGTGGCTATTTGGCCTCAAATACCTCAGGTAAAAAATTGTATCAGTGGTGTGTTTAGTTACATTAAACCCTTATTTGATGTTCAGAAGGAATGCTTATCAGAAATTTCACTATAATTATTGTTTTTTCATTTAAGTTGATTGGTTAGTTCAGCTTAACCAATCAGTTTGTCGCAAACCACTTGCTTGTGCACACTTAACTACACGGACACACTAAAGCGTAATTAAGGTTTTACGCAACGTGGCATATTAAACGCGATTTCTAGTCGGTAACTCAGTTCACATTTTGCTATTCAGTTTAATTGCTAACCTCCAGACATAAAGGTACCTGTGAATATCAGCCCTATTCAATGTCTTTTTCGAATCGAGTGCGAAAATTTGATGCGCTGCTTTAAACAAAAAATAAAAAAATTGGGATGATATTTACAGGTGCAATGGCCTTCTCTTCCTGCGAAACCGCACCCGGTTTTGAATGTTTGTAACCAGTAGAAGCCACTTTCAAGCTGAATGGAACCTCAGACGATTCCTTGGTTTCAGTCGAGTCGTGATCTATGGATGTCTCCTGAGGCTCATCACGGATATGCTGCTGTTGTCGTCTGCATTTCTTCCTCATTATGGGTGATGCAAATAGAAGACCTCCCACCACTTCCGTGTCATGGTCCTTCTGTAACAGAAAACGGCAGTAAAACACAATTAAATTGGCATCTTTCGTTGCTGCATCACAGTGTGTCGTCTATAACGCTTGTGTGCTACTAAATTAGCGTTTAACTGAGCCATTTTAACACCAAGGTGTAACTCAAAACGTTTCTTAAAACTGATAAGAAAATCAATGCGTCGACATGAAAAATATCGATTTGCGATCCCAATAAAATAGAAAAGGGCCATTATAAAAACAGGCTTTTCTTTGGTGGTTGCGTGTAATCGTGAACAAATGAAATTCGCTGCCAAAAGGCATTGTTTATAAAGAGGTCATTTTCAGATGTATCGATGTTTTTATAAACAAGTTAGCAATTCAATATTAGCTGTAAAATATCCAAAATTATAGATCAGTTAGTAAAAGTGCATAATATCTAAGAACCACATAGAACGATGCTAAGGTTAAAAGAACTAGAACTGGTTTGAATCTGCCCTGTTTTTAAGTTAAGTCGAGTTAGTTATTTAATCGGTTGCATCAAGGGTTAACTTAGGCTTTTTGCGCAACAGCTAAGTCAACGCGAAGCACTAACAAAGTTTCCAACTGTGGCACCTTCAGCAATTTAAGTAACAAGAATGCAAGTGTAAGCACTCGCACAATAAACAGTTAACAGGTCACAACCAATTGCGCATACGGCGACGAATTTTGTTCGTACGCTCATAGTGGCCATTGAAACTTAGAACAAAGGATACAAACAAGTCACAACTTACCCTTTGACAAGCGAGCTTGAAGCCTTTGTAGGGACTTGTGTTGATTCATGTCCAATAGCCCAGTCCTCGCAGTTTCCAGCACGCGTCCCCCCTTTTCACGACCTGCCCGTCAGTCACGTTAGGCCGCTGGTTCAATAACCAGTCTGCATGTCCCACCACCACCACCCACTTTACTCATGTGACCTCACAGACACCTGTGTTTATTTTTGTACATGTCCACTCAACCGTAATTGTACACGACATAGGTCTATTGAGCTACCTAGTAAACGGTCGCGCCTGCCATCTCTGGACTTACTGTCTTCCCGGGTAAAAAGGCCTTCAACACCGTATTAAATTAAACAGTCTTTGTTCAAGTTTTGGAATAATGATACCACACAAATTAAAATTAATATCCAAAGTGTACCCCAGAGAGATGTAAGAATGACACAAAGGAAATATCCTACTTGACCTTGAATTGACTTCGTGAAAACACTTCGGGTTTTATTCATGTAAGACACTCATGCTAGATTCTGGCAAATAGCGTTTTGCCCATAAAAGTGATTTATTTGTTATTCTTTGAAACGAGCAAAAATTGTTTTTTTTCATTTACATCTCGTTGCATCACAACGAGAGCGGTTACTGCAATTTTAAATCCAGATCATGACTTCTAATTAACGCTTATACTGTTTGTCGATATTTTGCTTGAAAACAATTTTCCACAAAAATTAGTTGTTTGTGACACAGTTGGCTTATTAAAGTTCACATTTAAATAAAAAGCCATGAAATAGGCAACAACTTTGCACGCCAAGGATCAAGACTAGTGAGCAATATTTGAACTTTCATTTGCCTGAAGCCTGATTCATGCGTCTTAATATTTCCATACGCAAAAGCGAAAGATATCCCTCGTCACCAATTCTCTAGGGAGAAAACGAACCTTTGCATAATGAGGAAAGCTTCTCGCCTCTGCAAGGGCACCTGGATCGGGAAGACCAGTAGGACAGAGGTCAGTAGATTCTGGGCCCTCTTTATCGGAGGATACGTGTGATTGGTCTGAGATGGTGTCCTGGGAGATGGTGATTCCTGGCATGACAAGGACCTCGTCATCGTCTTCCTGAATCGTCGCTTCAACGTCCCGAGCCGGTTTCTGCTCACCGCTAATGCAACTTGCTTCTACACAAGTGGAAACAACGCTTATAAGATAATTTCTCCGATGATTTGTCTTTTAATACAATAAAAACATGCTTTGAAATGATGCTACGATGAATTCTCTGCAGTGCAAATGTTTCTTATACCCAGTTAAGTCAACTAAAATAATGCTTAACTTTTATGAAATACGTATTTTAATACAGAGAAAACACTTGGACTTCACGTGTACGTTTTAAAGAAATTCACAAGTTAGTCTACAAACTTGGCGCTACTTGAGCGACAAAAAAATCAAGATACCGGCTGCGTTGCCATCCCTGCCTGAGTTGTTCAAAAATGCATCGTTGCTAGGGCTTGATTTCATTTGCATCTGATTTTATTTCACTCAAGCTTAGGAAGAGCGCATGTAACCAAATACTTTGTCTAAATCTTTTGCGTAACCTATAAGGAATTCACAACTAAATGTCACATTTTTTCTCCATGCGTTCACGGATGAAGAAATGGAATGATCAAAATATCAATTGTTAGGAAAAAAACGAGTCATTTATTAAAAAAAAATACCAAGAACAGGCATTTCAAACCCCAATCTGCTGTGAAGTATTTAACACTTTGTGACCTAATGTTGCGAATTATGCGAATATAACATTGAATAACAAAAAAATTAAAAAGCAGGCCGAAAAGTATCATTTTGCTCCATCGGTCGACAATGTGTTTCCCCAATTATATCTCATTTCCAACTCTCAAAAATTGAATTGCGGTTTATTTTTCATCAGTAACCTCTTTGTTGTAGACTTTCTGGGGTATAAAATAAATTCACCAATAGAACAAATCGGATATCTTGCGTGGAGAACTAAAAGAAAGTACAGCCGCCCACGCGCTAAAAAAACTAGCACCACAAACTACTGTTGAAATTTCCCAAGTGTTCGAAGCCAGCTAAATGAGTGAATAATTTGAATTATGATTTCAATTATAAATCGCTGCACAGGCTACCCTGTGCTTTCTACTTGCTTTTCTGCTCAAGCTATTAAACGGCATGCATTTTAGCATTTGACTTTAATAAAAGGTGCTCACAGCAAACGATTGCATGCACTGGCTGTTTTGACACATCATACCGTTAAAATGCAGAGTAAATACAATTGTTCCAATCGTTCAGCTCTACTTAAGTGTCATTCTAAGTAATTATCAGAACATGCGTTCTGTGGTAATTACCTTTTGCGACGGTGTCTGCAGGTACATACAATTTGCTTTAGGTATTGGTTAATACTTAAACAAATTGTTATGTTAAATTTGTATAAAAGCATGATGATGTTCGTTAATAATCTTTAGGGTTAGTGTCGTTTGCGGTAACTGGCTCTGGTACTCGTGGAAGCTTTCAAAGATTACCTGCCTCTGTTGATTTTGCACCGAATCTCTTACCTCTTAACCTCGGTACAAACAACGAGGGCGAGTCGAAAACATCATCGTCTGTACGCTCCTTGCAAATGTGAACCTGTGTCTCAAGGGTGTTAAGCACAATCCGGATGAGGTACTCAATAATTCCTCTGGTGCCGCATTGAGGGGTCGAGGAGCTGTTGACAAAAGCTGCTGGACCAATCGAGCTCATGCCACCGCCTCCAATGGAAGTTCCGTGGCCTGGACTGAACCCCGAGGCCCAGGCACCGCCGCCAGCTGCCTCTCCGATGTTCAACTGGGACGCCGAGAAGTCCATTGCGCCGCTGCCCAAGGCGTCGACGCTCCCCTTGTGCCCGCCCCCGCTTGATGAGCTCGATGACACATTCAACGACCCCGAGGGAGAGTTGTACTCATACTAAACGAAAAAGCGCGATTATTATGACCTAGTACTTTTTTGGAGGTTCAGTAGTGTATGAAGCTCGCTTCTGGTGCCACTGCTTCGAATGGATCTGAGCACGAACACTTGCTTGTTATAATAGAATTGGAGTATTTAGCATTGTATACTGATATTGCTTAAATCTGTCTGAAAAGGTTTAAAACGAAGAAAAACTTGAAAAGTAGTTAATAATGCATTGCACTTAACTCCACTTAATCTGACCTAGAAAACGATGGTAGTGAATTGACTGTATTCATGGCCATTAGCAAGGTCGCCCCAGACTCCACCTTGACGGCGTGCCCGCCAGCTCATACTCCCCCCTCATTTAGACGGTCATTTGTACCTTTACTGGGTCAATTCAGCGGTCTCGGCCATCAACCACAGCAGTCATGTCTGACCCTAGACACACACACACACACACACACGACAGCGCGACTAGGTTAAGCCACCTAAACGACAGTTGTGTCTTCTTAATCTTCGCGGTTATTCGTGTGACGTGATCGGACAAATACAACACGGAGGACCTGGTGTGGTTCGAGATCAAGTTGACAAACTTTGATGTATTCCACATTATTACAACACGGTGCTAGAAATTCTGCATAAATTTCTGCTTGCAGCGGGCTTAATTCAACTAACTTAATGGGCATTTGAATTTAAAATAGCCAGGTAAATCCTTTTGTTAGAGAACAAGAAAGCCTAGTAGTCCACGTAGTGCGGAATTTGAATTTAAATGATGTAAAATTTGACACATTTCGAGGCTCTATTAAGCGCTGTTTTTTACTCGTTCGATATTTACATCGACCTGCTTGGTAATTTTGAATGTGGCAGGTAATCTGTTATAAAAATGTTTCGACATTCCCTAGTTTTGTAACACACAACTAGCACAGTATCGTTTGCTGTAGAAATAAGGTTTATGCCGGGCGTAGTATATTAAATTTATTGTCATTTAGTGAAACAGTGTAAGATTCTACCGGGAACAAGGGAATTAACTACAATTTGTGCATTAGTCCGCATTGTTGGTGGTTTCACTGATGTTTAATCCTGTCATCTATCAAAGGAGAATTATCTTCGCAGCATCAACTCTTTACCCATGATGCTTTGAAGAATAAGCAACAACATTTATCCGAATGCATTTCGCGCGCATAGTGGATTCAACCTTGTCAACTAAGCATATAAACAAACTACTGAGCAAAAAGATGTGGCAAAATTTCTATTTTTAAGTGCGATTTCAATTATTTACGGGAGTAGAAGATTGACAAAAAAGCATCGGAAACCAATAGCCACAGTCTCAGTAGTGTAAAAAAGTCTGTGGCTATTAACCCATAATCTTTTGGAATAAATTCTCCTACGATCCTTACGTTTCCATGTGTTAGTTCGGATAAAATAAACATTTATAAGGAGCCGAATTAGCCGGAAAAAAGTTAAAAATAGTTGATTGAATAAAATATTTTCGAACAAATTAAATTCGAATGATGCCTTTTATTTCAAATCTTCTGAAAATCGATTACGATCATAAGTTACCAAAATTAAACGAAACATTCTGGATAATTTTGTGATATTGGGGAGTTAGAATTACTGTGAGGGTGTATTCGGTGAAATGAAAGCCGAAAGGTTAGCACATAGAAATTAATTTAGTTAAAACAAATAGTTTGTCCCTGCCGACGTGATCTCACAAATTCGCAATATTAAGGCAGATCGCAAGACTAAAATTGACGCTTGGCATCAGTCAGCAGCCCATGTAAAAACACAAAGCGATATCGCATCTAGGGTTAACTCAGGCATACCGGTAATTGCATTGGTCACAAGTTGCATCTAAGTACGTCAAGTGAAAAGTCATATATTCAGTTAGTTGAATTAAGCGCACTGCAAGCAGAAATTTATGCAGAATTTCTAGCGCCGTGTTGTAATAATGTGGAATACATCAAAGTTTGTCAACTTGATCTCGAACCACACCAGGTCCTCCGTGTTGTATTTGT